CTTGACCCTCACCACAGTGACTTGGGACTTGCTTGAGATTTGTAGGTCAAGACTTGAGACTTGCTCATGACTTGCACATGTAGGACTTACTCCCTCTGCCTCTGAAAAGTCAACTATAATTAGACAAATATGAAGACGTTAAACTTTAAACATCCATGACTTAAACACTTTATCCAGGATAAAAGCCACATAGTTGCACCTGCAAGGTTAATACAGCTGGTAAAAGAAAAAGTGTTTGAATGCGTACATTAACAGGTTTATGATATCAGTGCCAAGAGACTAAGACACGAGTGGATCTGACTTTAACTTTAACATTTGACTCAAGTGTTTCGCCAACTTAATGTGTTGCTTAAAATAATACTTCTGCATAAAGTATGTGACACTGTGAGTGTTGCACGGCCAGACATGGCTCAAGAAGCTGACTCAGATAAGGAAATATATGATACATTATGATGTGATATGAATGATAATGGGACACATCGATGTCTGCACTCGCAGTCCCGCGGACTGTACGTAATGTTACTTTGATACGTTTACTTATGTTGTGGCAGATATTTAAGTAAGCTTTCTTAACGCTAATGTTATAATAGTCAGATTGCTCTGAAGATGGGAGGTGATATTCTATTAATGTTCACGTTCACAGTCAGTAGATTTTTGCCGGCCGTCTTTCCTGCAACGGCAGTTTTTCAGTATTTCCTTTCTCCTGTAATATGACTTGATCGCTTTAAACTCCGCATACTGAGCTCTGATTGGTCAGCAGGCGGTGCTTTCACTGAGTTGATCTCTTATCCTGGAACCTAACCTGCTCCGCACCAGGCTAGTCATTCAGCATAAGTTACCATGGAGATCTAGCTCGCTAAGAAGTGAACCAGCATCGTAGGAGTTTTCCCTGAAGTTAGCTCGCTAAGCGAAAATCTGGCTTCGTCGTACAGGCCTCTGTTCTCAAGTCAAATAAACAGGGGATGAACATTTTTTTTCAACAACAACACTAATGGCATTCCCAACAGCTTCAGCTCTTCTGAATTCAGTGTTTTTTATTTAATAATCTAATATTAGTTATGAAAAATGATGATCTAAGATAGTGAAAATGTCAAACATTATACCTGGATATAAAGCATTTTAGCTAGCTGATGTTAGCACCAGTCGAAAATCCCTTCTATGACCATGTGATGCATTAGAGAGCAGCTAGCATGACTACCGACCTGGTTGTTAACCAGCCAAAGTCGGCAACTTTTAAAAACTGAAACAGTACTTGTTTACTTTTCTGATTAAAAGATAATTACACAACCAATAAGAAACCGCATGTCCTCTTTGTAGCTGCTCCATGGAGAGCGGTCAGTGTCGCTGCCGCAGCCACATGGCAGGACGCCAGTGTACGCAGGTGGAGTCCAGATACTTCTTCATGGCTCTGGATCACTTCCTGTATGAGGCTGAGTTGGCCAAAATGGGACAGGTGAGCCCGCCCATATTCTGTATTAGCCAACTTTGAATTGGAGTGATTCTGTGTTTTAAATATGGATATACATTTTCAAATATCTGTATATGTGTGTGTATTGTCAGGGCTGTAAACTGGAGACCAGGGAGCACCAGCAGGGTCGGCCTGCATCATGGACGGGCTTGGGGTTCGCTCGGGTCCCTGAGGGGGGCACCCTGGAGTTCCTCATCACTGACATCCCCTACTCCATGGAATATGACCTGCTGATCCGCTATGAGTCACAGGTCTGTGTTTTGAGATTAAGCACCTCTGCTTTTACATAGTCAGCTGCTCGTTTTAAAAATAAAAGTCTTCAATGAATAGTTACGTTTTTGTGAAATCAATTCATCTGACTCTTGCTGAGAGGTATCTTTTATTCAGGGTAATTGGCTGGACTTTTTCATGGCAAAGTCACAGTGACAAAAAAACTCCAGAAAGTCACTGCGCCTTTTCAGAAAATAGTCTATCTAAATAACGTTTAAATGTAATACAAATGATGTAGTTACCATTTAACAAGGTATTCAAATCAAACTGCAAACCTTTCAACTTTAATGGCCCTCCGAACAATGATTATAAACCAATTATCAACATTTAACTATGTGTTACAAATATCTGCTGTACACATGTGACATTATAGATGTCTTGCAAAAAAATCTTAAATGTTAACATTTATTTGAGTTATCGTTAACAATACTTTATGTAGTATATATTATGTTATGTGTGCCATAACAAACTTTTAATATTACTATCACATCTATTAGCAAAGTTGAATTACCTTACAATTTACTATTTAGTAATACAGGTTAATAAATGTTACCAATGTTGTTACCTTTGGAAAGAGCCTTGTTGCTCAACGTCTCGAAGCACCATTTTACTTCAAATATGTGCAGCTGTTATGTATAAACAACTCTGCCTATAAATCAATTTAAAGCATTGGGGATTCATTTCCTATCATCGTGACATCATTATTTGAGCCTGTCCTTCTCCCCTTTCTACATTTCATGATGCTTCTGACTGCATATTAACAATATACACTGATCCTACCCAGATGCCCCGGGACTGGGAGGAGGTGCGGATAACGATAGTCCGTCCGGGGCCCATTCCCACCAGCAGCCCCTGTGGAAACACCATCCCGGACGATGACAGATTCCTCGTCTCTCTGCCGGCTGGAGCCAGGTATGAGACTCCAAGACACACACTCATTCCCACATACACAACTGCTGAATATTAACTGGGTGCTGACTGTGTCTGCTGCAGGTTCATGGTCCCTCCTCGGGCTTTGTGTCTGGAGCAAGGTGTGACCTACACCCTCCGCTTTGAGTTCAGACGCTATCAGGATGCTAACAGTGTCCTGAACGGAGCGGCGAACGCTCTCCTGCTTGTGGACTCTGTGAGAAGAATTGATTTTTTCAATGTACTCCAAAATAAGCCTCTGACTCAAAGAAATCATATTTTTTTTTAACTGTCTCTTCTCTTTTTCATAAACCTGTTCTTTGCACCAGCTTGCGTTGATGCCACGCCACTCCTCCATGGAAATGTTCACTGCGGGAGATGTAGCTTCAAACAACAGGAAGCAGAACTTTGAGCGCTACCGCTGCCACGAGAGGGCGAAGAGCGTGACCCGCCCTATGATCAGTGACACCTGCGACAAGATCATTACTAGCATGTCGGCCATCATCAATGACGGGGCTCTGCGTGAGTAAAAAAAACCTCACTGTGCCGTGTTTGACGGACACTCAACATGTTTACAATGCAGCAGGCTGCTACGTTACATGACCTCTACCCTGAGCTCTGGCTGCCCTTTGGAGGAAACAAGAACATAGCCTCATTATTGGGATCAGTGAAGTGAACAGTATTAACAACATTTCTGACTTGTGGAATGTATTTATTGGCCAGGAATTTAACTTCTTATTAACATGTTATTATTATTTGACCATTTACACATCTGCTCTTCATATATCTTACAGGCATCATCCTATTTTGGTGCTAATATTTTCCCCCCAGAATTCATTATGCAGGATGTCCACATGTTTTACTTTTGAGTGCCTTCATGCCTGTCCCTCTCTGTCCTCCTCTAGCCTGTAATTGCGATCCTCAGGGGTCAATCAGCGCCATGTGTGATGTCCGTGGGGGCCAATGTCCCTGCAGGCCCAGTGTCATTGGTCAACGCTGCGATCAGTGTGCTCCGGGGACTTATGGCTTTGGACCCTCAGGCTGCATAGGTGAGAAAAAAAAACTTTTTCGTTATTTGTCTTAAGTATTTCTTGGGTTTTGTCAGACAATATGTGTATTGTAAATCAGTTTTATGTGACATAAACTGAGTCGGAGAATTATACATTTTTAGGAGTTAAGACCTTCAATTAGTTATATGCCATGCAGCTAGCGCCCTCTACTGTCTCAGTACAGAATTGCATATCTAAAGCCTCTTAACCCAAATGATTTGTAAATTATTCTCCATCCCTCTTTTCACTTTCTTTATTTTATTCCCTCCCCACTTGACGTATCCTTTTTTATTTTCTCCCTCGGTCCAGCCTGTGGTTGCAGCTTGGAAGGCGCCGTGACTCGTCTTTGTGACAAGTTCACGGGTCAGTGCCAGTGCCGCCCTGGAGCGTTCGGTCCGCGCTGTGATGGCTGCCAGTCGGGTCACTGGGGCTTCCCCAACTGCAGACTCTGCCAGTGTAACGGACACGCAGATCAGTGTGACCAGAGGACCGGAGCCTGCATTAACTGCAGGGACAACACCGGAGGAGACAAGTGTGACAGGTGAGGCTTCAGAGAGAAGAGGCTGCAAGATATCAGGTTAGAATATATCGTAGGGAGATAGGGATAAAAAAAGAGATTGAAAAAGCAGTTTTGTTCCTCTTTCTCTGATGATGTTATAACAAAAGTATGAGTTTTATTATAGACCATTTTATGTACGTTTACTATGTTGTTTCAAAGTTGTCAGTTACAGTTTACAGAATTTAATTACATTTTTACTAGTTTTATACTATAACGTTTTTACTCCTACTTTGTCATTTCTGTAGGTGTGGCAATGGCTACTACGGTAACCCAATTTTGGGCAAAGCAGCCAATGGTGAGTGTCGCCCGTGCCAGTGTCCAGAGGGCCCCAACAGTGGACGCCACTTTGCTGCATCTTGTTACCAGGACAACCATAACAGACAAATTGTCTGCAGCTGTAACCAGGGTTACACAGGTAAGATATAAAGACCATGCTTTCTTACTGCCCATCTTTACTTATTGTGTTAGCTGTTTCTCCTTCTCAGCATCCAGATGTGTGTGGGTAAACCTTTTTATATAGAACGACAACAACACTTTTGTGTTAGTGTTTTGAGTTTTTTAACATATACAAATCCTCATCATAAGCTCTTTTCACAGCGGAATAGTATCACCTTTGGAGCTTTAGTTATTTGTAATAAATGTTGAGTTCCTCTGTGATCTAAGTCCCGTCCGAATCCTCAATGTATGGAATTTGTCAAGTAAAGATTTCACCTCAAATCACCTACCTTATTTCCCCGAAGACATAGGTCATGTGATAATATTAGTAATCAAAACATTACACGGAGATAATGTCAACTGATGATGACTTTGGATTGGAGGCAGTCTTAGTCTGTCCCGTGCAAATGCACTTCCTGCAAAAAGGACCCGGTCCAATAAGATCCCCTGTTCCTAGTAGTATATTTAGTCTCAAATATATAAAGTATAACTGTGTATGTGATGTGTTTCATCAGACCAAAGTTGACCTAGTTTGTATGTTTAGATAATTATCATCTAATTGTATTGTGTCAAAATACTGCTGAGGCTGATGATGGAACTCAATGAATTTGTAAAGGGACCTTTTTAGTTATTACATTTCATTCTGTGTTTTTTTTTCATCTTAACCTAAACAGAAGATGGTGAACATGGCTAACATTATATATGCTAAAAAGAACCATGTTAGCATTGTCAATGTGTCCATGTTAGCATGTGGACATTATCATTTTGCTAGAGGAAAGGTCAGGGGGTTAAAATCACTAGGAACCACCTACTGGTGACCACAAACATACATCCCTGTGAAGCAGTACATCTGTATTATCCCAGTTTTATGTTTTAAGTACACTGTAAAACGTTTGGCTGTAAAATTACAGTAAATTACTGGCTACTAGTTGCATGGATTTCACAACAATTTACTGTAAATATTTCACAGTAATTTACTGTAGATATTTTACAGTAAATTAGAATAAAAGTACAACTAAATACTGTGACTTTACAGTTGCCATGCCCATGGAATTACTGTGATATAGCAGTACAGCGCTGTGGTATTATGGTGCCTTGCTGTACATAAATTACAGTAATTACCTGTATTTTCACATTTTACTGTAGAAGTAATGCAACACAGTAGCCAGTAATTTACTGTAAATATTCAAATCTAAATAATAAGATAATATATTCTAAATTTGACTAGTTAACTACACAATTTAATCAGCTCAATCAACAAAGAAAAACAAAGAAAATGCCCATTTTAACTTATTCTTACTCCATTGAAGTGCAAAGTACATTTCACAGTGTCTTGGACATGTTGTTACGGCCCCAACCTCTACTCCGCGGTAGTGGCTCGTGCTGAGAACCACAACATGAAAGAATACACGCAATAACCGGTACTTGGTAACGAGCATTTATTGATAATCAGCCGTTTGCTCACACAAGCGAAATGGGAAACAAAAAGAGGTCTCGAGGACTGGCCAAAAGGAACAAACAGAAGGAGGGAACCCGAGCCAGCCACACCACGGGCCGTAGGAACCAGAGCTCCCCCTTAACCAGAAATCAATTATAAACCCTATGGGAAACAAAATAAAGCCGCGAAAACTGGACTACCAGGTCCTCCAGGCTAAAC